ATATTACTGTACAAAGATTCTTTGAAAAGTAAAGGTACTCGAAAAGTTGATCAAGGCTCATGCACATACTTGAGATGGTCGAGAAGCATTTCCCAAATCAAGGATCAAAGAAAATCAGATTTAAACATTTGAAGAATTCAAGATCGGAAATCAGAACTTCAAGATTCCAGAATCAAGATTCCGGACCGGTAACCGGAGATCCAAATTTCTCTCCAGGGTCCAAAACAACATATTTTGCATATGCATTTTAGGCACACCTAAGAGCATGTCATCCATAATATCACATATATGCATAACTTTGCAGGTTCTAATTAGAGTCAATTTCAACTTCACAGCGAATGATATTGGACTCGAAGCGACACGACTTACTCGAGATTGGATTTTAACTTCACAACAAATGATATCCAACTCAAAGCCAATTTGGTGAAACAAAGATTGGGTTTCCTTCACCGTGAAGTTGAAATCCAATTTTGCTTCACCAAATTGGTGGTTGGATATCCTTCGTCGTGATAAAGGTTGCGTTCAAAGTCACCTAACGACTTATCAGTTCAATAGTGTCCATATTATTGAGATCTAATACATCCATTCACTCTTCATTTATGTATTCATTTTCCAGTATGTTTGTTCTTTTTCTCTTATGAATAAAAGCACTTTTTTCCCTAAATCAATTTATTTTGAGCATCTTGGGCTGAATTTAAACCTAATGATTTATTTACTGCTGCAAAAGATAATTGTATATTACTGTACAAAGATTCTTTGAAAAGTAAAGGTACTCGAAAAGTTGATCAAGGCTCATGCACATACTTGAGATGGTCGAGAAGCATTTCCCAAATCAAGGATCAAAGAAAATCAGATTTAAACATTTGAAGAATTCAAGATCGGAAATCAGAACTTCAAGATTCCAGAATCAAGATTCCGGACCGGTAACCGGAGATCCAAATTTCTCTCCAGGGTCCAAAACAACATATTTTGCATATGCATTTTAGGCACACCTAAGAGCATGTCATCCATAATATCACATATATGCATAACTTTGCAGGTTCTAATTAGAGTCAATTTCAACTTCACAGCGAATGATATTGGACTTTACTCGACGACACAAATGATATCCAACTCAAAGCCAATTTGGTGAAACAAAGATTGGGTTTCAACTTCACGACGAAGGATATCCAACCACCAATTTGGTGAAGCAAAATTGGATTTCAACTTCACGGTGAAGGATATCCAATTCAAGGCTCAACTTCACAATGAAGGGGCCATCCACGATTTCAACTTCATGACGAAGGATATCATACCTACAAGCAGCAATGCAACCCTTGGATTTCAACTTCACGACGAAGGATATCCAATTCTAAGCTCAACTTCACAACGAAGAAGCCATCCATGATTTCAACTTCACGATGAAGGATATCGTGCCCACAAGAAACATACAACTTAAGATTAGATTTCAACTTCACGACGGAGGATATTCAATTCAAAGCTCAACTTCACAGCGAAGGAGCTTTCCAGTTTCATTCAGAGTTAATTTCAACTTTGCATCGAAGGATATTGGACTCGAAACAATGCAACTTACACAAGATTAGATTTCAACTTCATGACGAAGGATATCCAATTAAAAGATCAACTTCATAACGAATGAGCCATCTACGATTTCAACTTCACGACGAAGGATATCGTACCCAAGAGATTGACCCAACTTCACGACGAAGGAGTCATATGTATCACAACAACATTAAAGTCTTCAGGTCAAGTTTTATCTTCACAACGAAGTATCTTGAGCCAGAAGACAAGTCAGAGGCCACTTGCCAAAAGCTTTGAGTTCAATTTCAACTTCACGAAGAAAGATATTGTGCTCAGAAGTTTCCAGTTCAACTCAACCTCACGGCGAGAGAGTCATTTCGTGATTCAATCCAAATATCGAATTTCAACTCTACGACAGAGGACATTCAATATGGAAGAAATTGGTGTCTTTTAATCTTTGCTCTATTTTTGTTACACGATAATGAGCAAAGAGGGGCAGCTGTAGACACATCATTTCACCCCATATATGTCATATTTTTTATATATATTATATTAAGCATATATTATATATATTTATTTATTTATATTACATATTTTTCAGGCCCAATTGGTGCCCCAAATACAAGCAAAGTTCACGTGTGGCCCAGCCAAGACCCAATCTCGTGACCCGTTTTAAGACCCGATGGAGCACCCGAACCGGTCCACTTGTGCCTCCACCTGAACCGATCTAGCTAGGGTTTTGGAAACCCTAGCTTCGCATACTCTATAAACACCGCAAATGCCAAAGACCCCTCTTACCTCACGGCTCCTCGCCCACCAGCAAACCACAAAGCAACAAACATCATTAGCAATTTCATTCGAATTAAAACTCATAAAAATAGGATTTGTTTTTCATTATAAATAGACATGTAACCTCATACGAAATAGACACGATTACACTACTTACACAAAAAGGATTACACTAGCAAACACGAAGCAAACCTTGTAACCTTCGAAAGCAAAGAAATAAAAAAGGTAATATTTTTTTTACCTTCGGTTTGGTTGATTTTTACTTGCATGTGTGGCTTGGGGCTTTTTTTGGTTGATTCAAAACGAGAGGCTGATGACAAAGGGGGAGTTTTTCGAACTTTCATTCCTAGATCTACTCACCCCGAGGCTTATTTTCAAAAATCACTTGATTTTTAAGCAATAGGCGAGAAAAACACTCGAAAAAGCAAGAAAAATATTTTTTGCCGCCGATAAACGACGGCCGGCAAGGCGACACAATGGTCGGATTCTGAAAATTTGTTGGAAGCCCGCCGTGTGCTTCAAATATTGAAGAACACTTGAGAGAAACATTTAAAGGGGGTTTTGTTTTGAAGAAGAGAGAAATGAAAATTATAAAAGATTTTTGGCTTATATACTAAGCCCATAATACTCATCGAATCGACCCATAACCCGACCCCAACCGCTTCTGACCCGAGTGTTTTTGAATTAAATGGGGATAATACCCTTTATGGTCCCTTGGGTTTTTTAAAAACCTCACTTTGACCACGAATTAAATTTTCATGTCAAATTTTTCTTTTAATTCGACCTCTAATTTATTTTTTATTTCAATTTAATCCTGGTTTTCATTCAGTTTACATTTTTATTATTATTTCTTTTGTATTTATTTTTCCATAGTTATTTTATTATTTGTTTTCGTTTTGTTCTTTTGTTTCTGTATTTTTAATTTTGCTTATTTATTTTATTTTTGTTTTCCCAAATTTTATTTGTATATACATATTTATCCTATTTTTATATGGTATTATTTTTGGTCATTGTTTTCTTTATTTTTTATTATATATATATATATATATATATATATATATATATATATATATATATATATTTCTTGTTTTCTTTATCTATTTTTTTTACCTATTTTGTTTCTGTTTGTTGACAATTCTATTTTTTTTATTTCATTTTATTTTGTTCATGCATTTTACTTGTTTTATTTTATTTATTTATTATTCTTTGTCATCTTTATTTATTTGTTTTATTTTTATGATGTTTTATTTTCTTTTAATTTTTTAGTTTGTTTATTTCATCCTTTTATGTGTTGTTTACCTTCTTTCCTTATGTTCGAAGCATCTTTATTTAATGAACATTTTTTCCTCTTTTTATTTTGTATTACAAATTTAACATTTTCTTAAAAGTTTTCAAGTAAATTGAAGGTGAGTAATTACGATCGTAATTTTACCTTTTAATTAAACTTTCAATTTTCTTAATTTAAGACAACTGGAAATTACGTAGTACCGAAAGGGTAGTTCAAGGGTGCTAACCCTTCCTTGACTGTAATCGACTCCCGAATCAGACACATCTTTGGTAAGACGCAGATCATGTAAGAAATAAGGTATCCGATCTACCCATTTGTCTTAAAATAAAATATCGGTGGCGACTCTAATCCATTTTTCTAAGTCGAAGCCCAATTCTGAGCCCACCCGAAAAATAGTTCCGACAACTACCAAAACCACTCTTTGAGAAACTGGAAAATATAATGGCTAGATTTTGTGGAAAAATTAGAGAAGAAGAAAGGAATTCACTGGTGTCTATGGGAGAACTAGTGTAAACTAAAAGAAGAAGGAGGGTTAGGATTTATGGACATAACTAAATTCAACATCGCCCTACTTTAAAACAATGATGGAGACTTATCACTCAACCAACATCATTGGTAAGTAGACTGCTTCGAGCCAAATATTTTCATTCTTCAAATTTTCTAGGAGCAAAGCTTGGATTGCAATCTTCTTACATTTGGAGGGGGTGTATAGAGCGCGGGAAGACTGATAGAAATAGAATGAGATGGAAGGTAGGTAATGACATATCAATAGAAGTATAAAATGATTATAACTACCATGTTCTCCACCAAGGTGACTACCAACCCGTGAGATAGAAGGGATCATCAGAGTAGCAGATCTAATTGACCAAATTTGAAAGAGTGGAAGAGAGAACTCATTAATGAGGTTTTCACGATGGAAGAAGCAACAACGATAAAGGTTATTCCAATCTCGAGACTTGATCAGAATGATGAAAAATGATGGTGTGGGGTACACTTAGGAGAATACATTGTTCGAAGCGGGTACAAACTACTTTCGACAAGGGAGGAAAAAGTATGATGTGGGGAACGCTCAAGTTATTCCAATTATTAGGGAATTTAAAATGTTTTTCAATAATGTGAGATGATTATGTAATATATATTTAATATTTTTAAATTACTGACAACTTACCCACTTTGTGAACGTAACTGTTTGAACCTGAATACTCGAACAATATTCCCTTTATCACTTGATCACTCAATGAATTCAATTTTAATATTTTATGCAATACTTATTAAGTAAAATACAGTAATAGGATCAGGCCTAGTGTACTTGGGCCATAAGTTGGACCTATATTTCGTTAGAGTCCAACCTAAAATAATCTGACTCACGAACAAACCTACGCTTCTGGATCTCCCAAACACAAGATTATCGAAGTGCAGTTGTTTCTTCACTCGCACTCACTTCACCAGATCTTTATCTCTCTTTTCTCTTATTACCAACGCTCTTCTCGCACTTTCCTTCGCCTTCTCCTTCACCAACATCTCTATTCTTTCCTTTTTCTTCTCCCTGTTTCTGAGAAAGCCCCCTCTACCATGTCCATTGGACCACAATCCTCGCTTTAACTTTGCTTATAACATTGATAACGAAAAGGTTTGTTGCTTGTTTTATCTCTTTCTTCTTTCTAATTTTGTTATAGTATTGGTGTTGCGCTCCTGCGTTTGGATTTTGGAAAGCTAACTTTTTTATTTTTCAAGGTTTCGATTCGATTGGGAAACAATCTCTTCGATGGGTTGTATTTTCCTGGAAATACCAAATTTTCTGACAGCTTTATTTTTTTTTTGAAAAGTCAGCTTGGTTTTATTTTTGACAAGTTAGCTTAAAAGGTTCGTAATTTTGGTATGCTATTGTGGGACTTCATTTTGGAAAACGCTTTTCTATTTTTTTATCGATATCTTTTGGATATGAAGTAGCTTATCATTGGTGACGAAATAGCAATCAATGATTTCGAAATCATGAAAATGTAGTTGTTTTAAATGGAGATGGGGAATGTTTCCTAGATAGTGTTTTTCTCCCTGGTTATGATGACAATTGTTTATTTATTTTTGTAGTTAAATTGTTACCTGGAGTCTATATCAACTGATGGAAGCTTACTTTGCAATACAGGTTTTTAGAACAGCTGGTGGTCACAATGTATGCAAGGAGGATAAAGGGTAGGAGCCAGATATGGAGTCTGGTGTTTCAACAGTGGAAACATTTAATTAGGCCACATTCTCAGGATAATGCTTGTTATCGATCTTTGAAGTACCCGTATGCTGTGCGGACTGGTTGTTCAGATGTTAGTTTGATTAAAAAAAGTGTTTTAGATTCATCTTATACTCGAGGTATTGCTCCTGCATTTGTGTATGGAAGGTCTGCTCCATGTTTAAGTAGCCATCAGTTGCGTTTGTATAGTTCTAAAGGTGATGGAAAGAATGCCAGCGAGGATAACTATAGGCCTGTGAATGATGGGACTAACTTTGATAAGGGAAAGGCTCGGCAGGAAAAGTTTGGGAAGGATGTGAAGCCTTGTGATATACATGCTCAGCTTGGGGAGCAAGATCAAAAGGAATGGCTCAATAATGAAAAACTTTTTATAGAGAGCAAGAAGAAGGAATCGCCATTTTTGACCAGGCGTGAGAAGTTTAAAAACGAGTTCTCGCGCAGAGTTCTGCCTTGGGAGAAAATTCATGTTTCTTGGGAAACATTTCCTTATCACATTCAGTAAATGTTATTTCTTTTTATTTTTTCCCTTTTTCTTCTTGGCATTCCTTTTTCATTTTGAAATTTTATTGCTGTTATCGATTTACTATGATTTTTTTCTCTGTAGTGAGAATACCAAAAATATTTTGGTTGAATGTGTTGCTTCACATTTGAAACATAGGGAGCTCACTGCTTCGTATGGTGCTCGATTGCCATCTTCGAGTGGGAGAATATTGCTTCAAAGTGTCCCAGGTATGCACCTGATATAAATTATTTTTTTCCAATGTATTCTTCCTTGTATTGTTCTTTCCTTTTTTTCTTTCTAATCTTTGATTTTACATGAAAATATATTTTTCATTTTAATAATTTTGAAGTCTTGCCGTCTCTCTAGGCACTGAACTTTATCGAGAGAGAGTGGTTAGGGCACTGGCACGGGAGTTACAAGTGCCACTTTTGGTTCTTGATAGCAGCGTACTTGCTCCATATGTGAGATTTACCCGACTTAGTAATTAAAACTTTGTTTTCCCCGTTAATTGTGCTCCAAAAATGGGTTTTTTATCTGTTCATTTTTCTTTCAGGATTTTGGTGATGATTGCTCATCTGAGTCTGAATCAGATGAAGATAATTTGGAATCTGCGGTAGATGGCACTTCAGAGTCAGAAATTGAGGATGAGAATGATGCCAGTAATGAGGAAGACTGTACAAGCAGCAACGAGACAAACTGCAGTGATGTGGATGAAGTGCAGGCAACTGCCGAAGCAGCCCTCAAGAAACTTGTTCCCTACAACCTGGAAGAGTTTGAGAAGGTATATTTTCAACTTGGACGTCTTTTTTTTTTATTGAGAATGAATATGTCATTACCTTCTTAAGGATACTTTTGAAAAATGCATGGCAGGGAAATACATAAGTAAAAATTTAACAGACTCACGGGCTTAAAAGTCAGTGTTGGACACATTCATGCAGTTTAAAAGAACGAGGGCATTTTTTGTGGTTTTATGATATTTTTCTCGTTATTATATTATTTTTTTAGGGTTTTTCTCAAGATTGTCCGGACCAGGCCCCTGATCCTTGCTGAGATAAAAACAATTCAAGCTGGTTTAAATTTGTTTATGAATTCGGTGTGGAAGGATAAAGGGAGTCTTATTTTAGAGAGTGATTCCTACTTTCGTTGAAATGGATTAACAATCTGGAGACATGCCCGGTTCTTTATGTTCTTATGGTTAGAGAAATTGCTAAGATAGTGATGGAGTTCAATGTTATAACTAGGCTTGTCAACAGATGTATTAATGGGGAAGCTGATAGTTTAGCTAAAACAGGCATAGGCTAGTGTAAGGTCAGGTGTTTTGGTTGTGTTAGGTGGATGTCTGTTGGAGATGTTTAAATAGGGTTCTTGTGTATTATTTATGATCTGTAACTGGATGTATCTTTATGTTTAGTAATAAAATTTTGGGCATTCTTTTCCTCCTTCCAATGGCCATTGAGTTTTTAGGAGCTTGATGGTTATGAAGGGTTTTTTTAATGAGGCCCTATTCTTATAAAAAAAAAAAAAGGTTTGCATATCCATTAATCTCAAAATGGTAACCTTTCTAATTGGCTTCTGGTATGACCCTGCAGTTTATGTTCATTCTTTAACTCACAAACTCTTGGGAACTCGGAAACCAGAAATCTAGGCTATGGGGATGCTTCTACTTATTTCCCTATGGTTTATGGGTGACGAGTGTTAACATGGAGTTGACAAAGTGGATCTTATCTCTATAAAATTAAGGTAAACCATTTGTGGAATGGTTTTGGTGTTTTGGTGCTTGTCTGTATCCAGCCTTGGAATCTTTGAGGCTGTAGAGCTTACTGTGATTGAAAGATTATAGTACTTGGTGAAAAGGGGGAGTAAAAAGGAAGGCTTGAGTTCGGTTTTCAATGTGTTTAAAAGGACTCATCAACAATTAGCTTAAAGCTTATTTATTTGTGTGTTATGTATTTCATGAAATCCTTGATTTCTTGTGCATTTGTAAAACTTATTTTAGAAGGTGTTTTTTTATAATCCTTTTTGATTATGTATTTACATCTTGGCAGAGAGTCTCTGGAGAATCTGAGAGTTCCTCAGAATCCTCAAAATCTGAGGCTGATGAATCTGCTGATAAATCCAAGCATTTGCTAAAGAAAGGTAACTAATTTCAGGTTGTTATATTTGCAATTGTGTGTTAAATGTGTGTGTGAAAGTTACATTTATTCTAAAATGTGCTTTCAAATAGAAGGTACCACTTCCCCTTTGTATTCCTGTTGTTTATCCTCCCTCCTTATCTGCCACAGATCTTTGTGAAAGTTAAACTGGCAAGAAAAGTTTAGGTTATTTTAGTGTACATGCCTGTTCACATATCACAAGTGGGTGGAGGGCATAAGTTGACTATGCTCGAGTATGTGAGATCATTCTTCTAACTAATTTTTCTTCCTTTTTAGGGGACCGTGTGAAATATATTGGATGTAATGTTCAGAGTGAAGCTAGAAAAAGGTAAGAAATGGATTAATTCTACCTGTACATTGTTTTGTTTTTTATCTACCATGTCCATCTATGTGGTAGATTTCTTAGATTCTACTTTGTTCTCCACTTTAGCAATTTCAACTATGTTTGATTTGTTAAAGATTGAAAATGATGAATGTCATTAGTAGTCTGTTATTTTACGTTTTGAAATTATGTAACTTCTAAAAAAATGTTGAAGAAGAAGAAACGCTGCGACTCTAGTTAGGCAGTTTTGGAGGTTGCTATGTTGGTAATGGATATCTTACAGTTGGTAATGGATATCTTACAGTTGGTAGAGCGCAAGACTCTTAACCTTGTGGTCGTGGGATCGAGTCCCACTGAGGGCAATTCATAACGGAGGTCTTCCACGGAAACTGCTCTAAACCTGGCGTTGGGGGCAGCCTACTGCCCTACCTCTCCCTTACCCTATTATATGGGAATAGGGTCAGCTAATTATTTTTTCTATTGCATCTTCCTTTGTGATTGTTTATTATGGGTTCCAAATGATGGAAAGATTTATGAGCAGCATTGCCCTTCTGTTTATTATGGGTTACCTGTTTATGTTTGTTGAAATCAAATTGTTTGAGCTACGAGTTAGTTGTATATGATGGTTGGTAATAACCATGCCACTAGGAGTGTCATAGTTGATTTCTACCTGCTAGAAACACCCCTAAGATTCATCCTTTCCATGAACTTCCATTTTACCCTCCTACAATTTTGACATATATATCCATCACAGGATTGTATTGGGGAAGATACCAACATATGATGGTCTAACTAATGTTTATACGAGTATTCGAGGCAGGTGGGTTGGTAAGTCAGTCTGATGTATAGAAGAAGAGCTCTTAAACCTATTTTTCTTGGGGTTTTCTTGAAAATGTGTTTTGTAGTGATGTTTCATTTTCATTTTAGGATCCTTTTGGTCCTTATATCTTCGACAATGTTTTCCAGTGAGCAAATGATGGAGAATAGTTTTCTTGGTGGGTTAGGGTAGTGTGGGAATTATAGAGATATATGATTTGTTACCATTCTTTTAGTTAAGGGATTCTGTAAGTAGTTTTCTACAAACCCTTATTTTAAGGGATCATATCTCCTAGGATTAATATCTTTCCTTTCTTAGAGTTTCATACTTTAGAGAGATAATTTATATAAAGATGTAATATGTCCTTGAAAATAAGAGAAAATACAAATAATTACTCTGATTTCTACATGGTATTAGAGTAGGTTACGGTTTCTTTCCAACCTAGACCATGTTCACGACTTCTTCTCCTACATCTCCTTTTACTCAGGAGATCACTTCAAATCCAAAAAATCTTTTTGGTTCTAACACTCAAACAGATTCATTCGGTCTGGTTATTACATGCCATCGATTGAATGGCAACACCTTTCTTGAATGGTCCCAATCGGTTAAGATTTTTCTCTTAGGCAGAGAAAGATTGGGCTACGTTACTGGTGAAATCTAGAAGCCTACTGCGACTGACACTGTTTTTTATAAGTGGATGCGTGACAATGGTCAAGTTATGACTTGGCTCCTCAATTCCACGATCCCGAGTATCAGCGTAAACTTTCTTTTGTACAACACGACCGCTGAAATCTGGAGTGCAGTCCGCGAAACATACTCCAGCACTGGTAATATTGTCGAGTTATATCACATTGAAGATCAAGCAGCCACTCTTAAACAAGGAACCATGCCTGTCACTCTCTACTACAATACCCTAACTGCCCTTTGGCAACAATTAGATTTGTATGCACAACATGATTGAGCAGATCCAAGAGATGCTACCCTTTACCAACAAATTGTAACTCAGCGAGGACTTTTTCAATTTCTCCAAGGCTTAAACAAGGTACTGGATGAGATTCGTGGTCGAGTACTGGCTATTTCTCCTCTTCCCTCCCTTCGAGAGGCTTCGCTATTGTCAAGAAGGAAGAAGTAGCTGGTGTGATGCTGCCTGATGAACCATATTCCACTCCTGAAGGATCTGCCTTACTCATCAATAATCTAATACTTCGAAATGAGGGAGACCTTTTGTGTGAACATTGCAAAAAGCTCGACCACTCCAAAGAGAAGTGTTGGAAGTTTCATGGTAAACCTCAGGACTGGAAGTCCAAGACCTCTCAAGATAATAAATCTAGCCTAGTTGCTGCCACATCTGTCACTGCTTCAGCAAAGAACAGAATGATGAACTTTTAGAAATTGTTTGAAAATTTTCAGGGGCCTTGTGAGAGTAATCTGGCCATAAAAGAACCAGAAGGTAACCCTTATCCTACAACTTTTTTATCCTCTTAGTTGACTCATAATTGGACCCTCGATTCTGGTGCTACGAATCATATGATTGTAACAAGGATTTGTTTTATAATTTTTCCTAAAATTCGGTAAGGCTGTCAAAACGGCTGATGGTTCCTTTGAAAATTAGAAGGTCATGGCACTGTTGTTCTCAATGAACATATGACACTTAAAAATGTTCTCTTTGTGCCAACCAATCTCATTTCAGTTCGTAAACTTTCCATCGACTTGCACTGCTCTGCAATTTTTACTAATATTGATTGTACTTTGCAGGTACTGAACTCGAAGAAGATGATTGGTAAGACCAGTTTGCAGAATGACCTCTACATCCTCCCTTCATCTACTACAATCGAGATCTCTAAATCGTTCACCGCTTTAGAACAAAATGATATTGTTATGCTATGGCACTTTCGTTAGGCCATCCTACTTACTACTATCTTGCAAAATTGTTTCCTGCTCTATTCATTAATAAAGACCAACTTCTTTTTCTAGCAAAGTTTGCTCTCTTGCCAAACATACTGAATCATCTTATTCTCCTTCTAAATACAAGCCTTCTCTCCCTTTTGCCTTGATCCACAATGATATTTGGGGTCCTTCTCGGGTGAAGAATGTTGATAATTGTAAGTCGTTTATCACTTTAATTGATGATCACAGTAGGATAACTTGGATTTATTTGCTAAAAGATAAATTCGAAACTGTTGGTGTTTTTGTCCAATTTTATAACATGGTTCTCATTCAATTTGGAACCAAAATCTAGCTCTTTAAATATGATAATTGCAGTGAATTTTTGCTAAGTCTTTGGGTGATTTTTTCAGGAAAAAGGGTATAGTTCAGCTTAGTTATTGCGTTGGAACCCCACAGCAAAACGACGTTGTCGAATGGAAAAATAGACACCTCCTTAAAGTTACTCGTTCCCTTCTATTTACCACTAATGTTCCAAAATATTTGTGGGGGAAGCCTTATTAATTGTCACATATTTAATCAACCTAATGCCTAGTAAGATTTTACACTTTCAAACAACTCAATCTATATTTTTGCAATACATTCCCCGTTTTAAACCTATATCCTCCATTCTACCACTTAAAATCTTTGGTTGTACTGTTTTTATCCAAAACATTGCTGCTAATAAGTCCAAGTTAGATCCTAAATCTATAAAGTGTGTATTGGTTTGGTATTCTTCACTTTAGAAGGGTTATAAATGCTACCATCCTCCTAAACGATTTTTTACCATTATAGATATTATTTTTTATGAGCAGGATCCCTATTTCACTCGGGTTGAAATTCATGGGGAGACATGGAGAGATTTTCAGCCACATCAGGTATCTCCACCCACTCTTCATTCTCAACCGTCAGAATTGTCATCATTTTTGTCTTTACCTATAGATTTGTCACATGTAATTACTCATTGATCCACCTGTAGTACCTATCACTACTCCATCCACACTCAATTTAAACACCTTCTTGAAAATACACCTCCCATTCAAATCTTCCACAAACAACACCAATCAAACAACTCCGTTTCTATACAAGGAGAAGAAACATATTCCTGAGGCTATTTTGCAATCTGATTCTTGCCGAGAATTGGATTTGGGTCCAGCTGCCGAAATAGAAGTCAGTAAGTCCATTTCCTTTACTCTAGATGACTTCCCTATTGCTATTAGAAAAAGAGTTAGATAGTGCAGAAAACATCCTATTGAAAAATTTACTGTTTATAATTCATTGATGCCTTCTTTTCTAGCATTTACAACAACTTTGGATAAAGAACATGTTTCCACAAGCATAACTGAAGCTCTAAAAGATTCTAAATGGAGAAGGGTCGTTGAAGAGGAAATTTCCGCACTAAAGAAAATGCCTACTTGAACTGTTACGGACCTTCCTCAAGGGAAAAAAAGGCTGTTGGCTGTAAATGGATCTTTGCTGTAAAGTATAACTCCAATGGTAGCATCTAACGATACAAAGCGAGACTAGTGGCAAGAGGTTTTACGCAAACATATGGGACAGATTTCACAGAAACTTTTTCACTTGTGGCGAAGCTGAATACTGTTCGAGTACTCCTATGTTTGGGTGTAAATTGCGATTGGCAATTACACCAATTTGATGTAAAAAACGCTGGTAATATTGTCAAGGCTTTCAAATTTCAATTCCCCCAGGCGTTTTGAAATTTTTCTCCCTCCGACTTACACCCGTTGTCCGTCGCCATCAGACGCCGCACCGGTCGTCACGTCCGGTGGTCGTTGAACACCAAAACTTCCAGGTTTTTTCGACTCGACGGCAGCATCAAGGATCTAGGCTTCGTTTCACCAAGGAGAGCCTACAACTCAGTGGATCTTGGACGTGGCCCTTCGACTTTTAGCTGTTGGCGACGCTTCTTTCTTTTTCTCCGACGACGGCGTGATCTACAACATCAGTATAGTCATTATCTTTGCTTTCTCCATCTCCTTGTGTCTGTCGTCTCACCACAAAGCAATCAAGTCAGCACATTCGCCGCTAATCTTTAGCTGCAGTTTTGGTTCTGTTCATCACCCTTTCTTCCTTTGCTTTTCTTCAACGATAAAGCAACACAAAAGAAATGAGTTCCCGGAAACTTGAAGTGGGTCTTGCTACCCCTCACCATTTCAAGTCCTCTCGGCAAAGCCAAGGCTAGCTGCTAAACATGCTTCGGCTTCGCAGTCTGTGGAGGCGGGGATTTCCAAGATACGAATTGCTATTGTGGCATTTGATCGCCTTGTTAATTCCTAGGTTCACTTAAAGACACCGCTGAATTACGTGACAAATTGCATAAGACAAGGCTTGATATTGAGCAGCTCGTTAAAGAGTCTTCAGCTAAACTAAGGGAAGCAAGAGAAGCTGTGCAAGATGCAGAAACCTTAAAGAAATCTGTCGATGACAAGCTTGCAGCTGGGAGGGAGACAACAAATTCGTCTTCCGTACCTAAAGAAGTTCGTCATCAAGTTATGATGTCCATGTGTTGGAGGAAAAGGTGACCAAGAAACGCGAGGAAGAAGATGAGATGAGGGTTGAAGCCGCAGCTCTCGGGCTAAGGCTGGCCGTTAGTCCAATAGTGGGGATAAAGAGGATGGAAAAAGTTTGAAAATTTCGGATAAGAAGGCGAATCGAGTGGAGATTTTGGTGCCGAAGGTTACGGAATCGAGCTTCATAAACAGAGAGTGGAGCAGCAGGCGCCGACTTTGAAGATTGCGGCGGGGGAAAAATATGAGAGGATGCTGTTGGAGTCCACCTCAAAGGGGTGCAGTAATGATAACACTGGATGCTACACGTTATTTATTGATAACTTACCAGAGAACATTCACTGGAAGAGGTTGGATCTTTATTTCGCTCCCATGGTCGGGTTCTAGATGCTTTATTCCAAATAAAAGAAATTCAAAAGGAGTTCGCTTTGGTTTCATTCGCTTCGCAACTATCGATGAAGCAAGGAGAGCGATCTCAAAAATGAATGGTTCTCATATCGACGGAAGTAAAATTGGTGTTTATTTCGCTAAATTCAAACCTCGACAGTCCTTTTGGAGAAAGTCCTCGACATGTGTCTTCGCAAGTCAGGGATGGAAGATGTTCGAGGAAGAATTATTATAAAGTTGAAGGTATTATAGATGAAGAAAAACTTCAAGTGTTGAGCAATTGTCTAGTGGGGTGGTGCAAGGACTTTGTAAAATTTGGTCATCTCGTTAGAAAAATGCAAGCGAAGGGCCTCACTGGCTTCACCTTAATGAGAGCTGCTGGTAATGCGATTTTAATGATTTTCGAAGACAATGCTTCATTGAGAAGTGTGAAGAACGATAAATCAATATTCTCGCAGATGGTTCTCCATAGTCGAAGCTTGGTCAGAGAGTTTGGTAATGGAGTGTCGTCGAGTATGGTTAGTTTGCGAGGGTGTTCCTTTTCATGCATGGAATTGGGATACTTTTAAGAACATTGCTGATAAGTGGGGTTTATTACTAGCTATCGACGAAAGTTGTCAGTCTCCATCATCCTTTGATCGGGTAAAAATTCAAGTCCTCACAAAGGTTGATGCGAGAATTGATGCGATGGTGGAATTGAAGGTTGGTGACAACTTCTTCAAGGTCATGGTGCATGAGATAGAACCTTCATTCAAACCAACTCTTGGGCTCCTGAAAAGAATTGTCTCATTAGATCTTGTCTCTTCAATTTTGGTGTTTTAGTCTATATGGTTGTAGGTGTTTCTTTTAATTTGTATTATGTTCTGTTGCGCTATTTTATTCCTACTGTTGTGGTGTAATTAGAAGTAAGGTGATTAGACTGTGGCTTTGGATAAGGTCATATGAGGTTAAGGTGTTGTTATATGGTGTACATCACCATGAGAGGATATTCTGTGGTGTCTTTTGTATCGGGTATTTTATCAATAAAATTTGAGGTACTCTTTTCTTCCTTCCAATGTTCGTTAACATACCTTTAGTAGGTGAACGAATACGAAGGGAGTTTTTAATGAGACCTCCAACTTCTATCAAAAAAAAATTGCACCTGGCTTACAGTCTGTTGAAGGTGGCAATAAGGTTTGCAAGCTCAACAAGTCTCTATACGAGTTAAAAAAATCACCCAAAGCTTGGTTCGAGAGGTTCACTAAGTCATCCCGATAAGTTAGCAAAGGAGGAATTGGGTAATTTTTGTCCTTGCTTAGGCAGTTGTGTAAGCCTTAAGAGCAAAGTACCCTCAGGACTGTTTTTAAGTTTTATGTAGTTTGCAAGACTGTTTTTAAGCCTTATGTATCTGGTTATTATCAATAAATTGATGCACTCTTTCCTCCTTTCGCTAGTTGGTCCTACCTTAGGGCAGAGGACCACTATGAGGGAGGTTTTTAATGAGGCATCCTATTCCTATCAAAAAAAAAAAAAAAAAAAAATCCTAAAAACGGCTACAAGTAGTCCCTCGCCGATCATACTATTTTCATCAAGGTAACTTCAAATAAGAAAGCTATCCATTGTGTACGGGAAGACATAATTCTTACCGGAGATGATGAAGAAGAGATTTGCAATTTGAAGAAGTTAAATAAGAAATTCGAAACCAAGGACATGGGAAAGCTAAGGTATTCCTAGGAATGGAAGTGGCAATGTCAAAAGAAGGACTTGTGATCAACCAAAGAAAATATGTACTTGACTCAAAGAAAATGGTTTTCTTGGTTGTAAGCCGAATGATACACCAATGGAGGCAAACTTGAAATTTAACAAAGAAGATGGGTCCTTAGTGGACAGAGAAATTTCAAAGATTAGTTGGGAAACTAATTTATTTATCCTTGACAGGCCAGATATAACCTTTCTCGTAAATACATGACTAATCCTACTAAAGCATATGGCACAGCAAATAGAATTCTCAAGTACTTGAAGAAAACTATAGGACACGGTTTAATGTTTAAGAAGACACAAGACAGAACTGTTAAGATTTTTACAGAATCTAGTTGGGCCGGAGACCTTATTGAAGGAGATCTACTTGTGGCTACTACACCTTTGTTTGGGGAACCTTACAACTTGGAGAAGTAAAAACAATCTGTCGTTCAAGAAGTAGTGCTAAAGATGAATTCAGAGCACTAGCATTGGGAATATGCAAAGGAATTTGGCATAAATTACTGAACGAACTTGGCATTAATCAAGAGGATCACTTTGAAGTTTTGTGTGATAATCGATGCTATTCAGATTGCCAAAACCCAGTTCAACATGATTGAACAAAGCATGTTGAGATTCATAGGCATTTTATTGCTGATCAAGTTAACAAAGACAACCACACTTTCATACATTCCCTCAGAAGAACAAATTGCAGACATTCTTACTAAGGCTTTGCCAAAGCCGGTTTTCAATAAATTCCTATTCATGTTGGGATTATACAATGTATATTCTCCAGCTTGAGGGGGAGTGTAGGAATTATATAGATATATGATTTGTTACCATTCCTTTAGTTAAGGGATTCTGTAATAGTTTTCTACAATCCCTTATTTTAAGGGATCTATCTCCTAGGATTAGTATCTTTCCTTTCTTAGAGTTTCCTACTTTAGAGAGATAATTTGTTTATAAAGATGTAATATGTCTGATTGAAAATAAGAAGATTACAGAGAATTACTTTGATTTCTATAGGTAGATAAAATTTGCTAACCTAAAGAGATCTAGCCCATTAGATTAGAAACTTAGATGCCAGTGGTTCTTTCTTTTGTTACTTTTGGTTCAGTTATTTTGCATTCACAAATTGGCTCCTACATTTTTTAAGCCTTTTTTGTCTTCTTTTAGTTATGGCAAGTATTAACTAAGCTCGTCTCAATCTTCAATACGTCATATCTTCAAACTCGTAGACTTTTTTCTGACTGCTGCTCAGATCTTTTCTTATCTTTATCCTTTTTCTCCTGAATTCATTCTTAATTAGGATGACTTCAAACTATTTGTTTCAGATGGTGACGTCTTTAATCTATGAGATGGTAATATTAATCTTGGCCCTGGATGGGTTGGCTCCATAGTTCTGGCTGTCTAAACTCATCTAGATATAATGAATCCATTAACAGCTGTTTTGTGCTTCAAAATCATGGGTGAACAAGAAGGAAACTCCAAAAACTGGAGTAAGAAAGTGTTCATATTAATGTTCTCCTTATAGAGAACCAAATACATAAGAAAACATCATGCAAACCATATGTACATGGAACATCATATAATATGAACATTCTTTTGTTGATCATGCTGTGTCCTTCAAAGGGGGCGACAATCAATTGTTTGATAGATATTATTGGCTACATATGAGGAAATTTCTTTGTCCACATCCTTTTTAATTTTCTAAGGGAGTGCGTTATGAGTGAGATTTTTTATGCAATTGCACTTTTTTGACACACTGCTTTTCTTTTCTTCCTTGACTGAGTTGAGGGATTGTTAACTGTTACTGTTATTACTATTACTTGCAGTTCCAACTAAATCTGCTTGTTTCAGAAGTTTTAGCTTTTCAAGGAAACATATGGTTGCATTAGTCTTTAATTCATTGGAGATTCTATAGTAGATAGGTGGACATTTATGGAGGGAAAGTGACCGAATCATTTTCCTCGAAGTTTTAAGTTTTTATTGGGGGTAAAACTGTAAATAGGTTAGGGGTTTCTTAATCATGCAAGTGTGGAATGGATAACTAGACATGCCTATGTAGTATCCATTTCATATGTTTAGAACGTAAAATTCCTGAAGAAGGTGCTATGTTGATGTTGCAGCATCTAATTTGACTACACAAGATATGGCTGAATATCTGGGATTATATCTTAATGTGGTTACATCGTGAGTGGCCTGGTCAGTTGCAAAATTCTTGGTAGCAAATTATGTAAAACCTAGATTATCTGGAATTTCTTTTATCTATTTTCTTTCACCAGTTGTACTAACTGCAATGTGTTTTCTGTGTTTATGGTTCTTTCTAGTCTGGCATAGTTATCTTTTGCTTCTTTTTACAGTAAGAATGAACTTCTTGATAGTTGATGCACTAAGCTTGAACTTCTATCTTGTGGAAACTGTGCTCAAAGTTAGAACTGTATATTCCTGTTTTAAACATTCTAATTTTGATATTGTGGCCCTTTTACTTATCTTTGATGTCCACAGGACCTATGTAGTGGTCAACGTGGGGAGGTATATGAGGTGAACGGAGACAGAGTTGCAGTAATTTTGGATGTTAGTGCTGATAACAGAGGGAAAGAAGAGAGGGACGAGAAACCCACCAAGCCTGAAAGCCACCGGTTTATTGGTTAAATGGTATACATTTTATGTCTATAGGAACTATGTTTTGGCTTTCAATCCAAATCCACTTTTTTCGTTCTCTATTCATCAGGTTTCAAAACTTCTTAGTACTGTTCTTGGTGGTATTTCTGTTATTAAACTCAGGTTTCAAAAGCTTTGGAAGTTCTCCGCCTGAAGCCTTAACTGTATCAACCAAATAAAATTATGTTAGTAATAAAGTAATAACGGTTATAGATAAATTAACACGAATATTTCTCATATTGTCTTGCTTGAGCTGATTTTTACATTTTTCCCTGATAGTTTTCCATTTGTTTTAAGTAGGCTCGATATTCTTGAAAGAAATATACACAACTTGCTTGAAGGGGAACATTTTTATCTTCCTAGGCTTTTAGATCCTCTGCACTGCATATGTTCTTTATATTTCTATACTTGTAATTTATGCCTTCGAGATGTTAATCTATTCGGTTACATTTTTTAGATATTATATATTTATATTTTGTGGAATTGTTGGTCTGCACTGATCTATAATTTTTGGTGCACACTCTCTATATGAATCTAGCTTACTTCTATTAGTGTCAGAGAGGCATTGTTCCTACAAGTTTAAACGAACTGACAACTTGTTTGCAGTTAAGGATGTTGAGCATGATCTGAGACTCAGGCAGAGGACTGCTATATTGCCATGAAGCTTTATGTGAGGTAAAATTTAGATATATTCTTCCAACTTCCATTAGCATACCCTGATAGAATTTAATAAGAGTGATTCAAATGAAAGGGAAAACTTTACCATAAATGGGGACAAAAGTTATTTCATAAAGTAGTACCTTAGCTTTACTTGTTTAACAATTGTCTACCAAACATTGAACTATTTTAACTGATGCTATCTCATGTATTTTAGTAAATAAGTTTTAATCATATATTACTCTAACCAACCAAATGAGGTATAATTAGGATTAATTAATTTTGAAAGCATCTCTAGCCAATTAATGTTGTCTCTATTCTCAAGGTTTAAAGTCTTGAACCTTTAATCCCGAATTCACCCAAGTTTAAGTCCCCAAAAGCATCTTAAGAATTATTTTTTGCTTTCTACAAGTAAGCCGTTTCTTGACATTTTAATTGAGTTTTAACCCGAGCTTCCTTGATCTTTGCTTTGGCCTTCTTTCAGGTTTGCATTCCAAGCAACCTCTTATTGTATATTTTTCAAGATTCTTCACAGTGGCTGTCTAGGGCGGTTCCCAAGTCAAATCGTAAAGAATTTGTTAACGGTTCACGAAAGTTGACAAATTACAGGCCCATTGTTTTGATTTGCGGGCAGAACAAAGTTGAAACAGGGTCAAAGGAGAAAGAGAAATTTGTAAGCATTGAGAGCTAACATCTGTAGCTTTAAGTATTCAGTGTATTTTGATAACTGAAGAATCCTTGCACTCATAAAATAACACTCCAGATGATATGTTTTTTTCTTGTTTATTTTAAACATTTCGTAATTATTAGCACTGTTATTTTACCTTTTTCTGTGTCTTCTTCAACAGACGATGATACTCCCAAATTTTGGTCGCCTTGCAAACTGGTTAGCTTGCTAACTTAATTGTAATTTTATTTTGCATGGAAGCCATCCTTTTATTCTGAGGGTTGAGCTGTATTTTAATCTTGGTTGGGTTCATGTTTCTTTTTTTTAACTACTGTTTACTTCTTGATTAGACTCTATAGTATACAGCTAATATAAGCTTCTGAAGTATACATTAATAATTTTCAAAGGATCTATTTTTCTGTTCTAATGCATTTCCATTTTGTTGGTTTCATTGTCATGACTCTTCTTCAATCTCAATCATTAACTCAGCAACATTAATGTCTTTGTAATTCAAGTGCTATCGCGCGCACACACATTTTATATATTTGAAGTTCGAGTCCTTGAAGAAAATTCCTTGGTGATTGAATTGCTCAATGCCTAGAGAGCGGCGCGAGAATCTCTAGGTCTTCATATGTATTATCATTTTTTCCTATTTAAATAAAAAAAGGAGATTCTTTTTATTCATGTCTTTTGTTTCTAAAGTGTTTTTTTTAATGGCTTTTCATTACTTTTAATTCAATCTTAATCTGTCTAAGCAATACTAAATGGTTTTTCTTCTATTTTGCAGCCTCTCCCTTTGAAGCGCCTTACGGAGGGTCTTAAAGCAGCCAAGAGATCTACTGATGATGAAATATGCAAGCTGTTTACTAATGTTTTGTGCATTCATCCTCCTCAGGTAATTCCACGTGAAAGAGAGACCTAAGGCCAGATTTAATTGTTCAAATGTTTCTCTTTAATTTTTTTGCTACTCTATCCAGGAGGAAGATCTCCTTAGAACATTTGAAACAACTTGATGAAGATCGGAGAATTGTGATTTCAAAGAAGCAATATAAATGAATTACATAAGGTAGCACTAAGTTTCAATTCGATTATTTGGCAACTTTCATGCTCAATTTTATGTTTTAAGGGATAGAAAGTGGTTTCAGTTGTGGATGCAGATGGAGCTTAGGCTTACTGTTAACATTGTTGTAACATTTTGTTTGTTGTGGGAATTTTATCGCTGAAACTACCGTCTTGTAGGTTCTTGAAGAAAATGAGCTGTCTTGCTTCGACCTATTACATACAAATATGATGGTGTGATACTGACTACACGCAGTAAGGATTCACATTCAGATAAATCTACCTTATGTATTTTTTACTTTAATAAGATGGTTGTAAATTTAATTTTGCCCCTCCCAGTAAATGTAAGTAAGTTTAATCTTCATGTTCCTCTCTGTCAAAGTTGCTTGTCAAGAACAGATAATCTTTCATGCAATAGGAACTGGTCACTTTGACCAGTGAAACAAAAGCAATTTCTTTTTAACTGGTTGATAGGTTAATCACATGGTGGTATCAGCTTTACCATCTTTTTCTTCCTGTGATTGCAATTAGAAGTGCCATTAGCTATATTGCTATGGCCAAATAAGTTTAGAAGCTGAAAACTCAACCATATGCTGCTTCTGTTAAGTTGGACTAGATCACTAGGAATACCACTTTTTCTGTTTGCAGGGAATGAGATCAAATAATTGCCCCATCAAAAAATAATTTGGTACTAAGTTACCTCTTAATTTTTGTTGGCAGAAGCTGAAAAGGTTGTTGGTTGGGCTAAAAACCATCACTTATCATCTTGTGCATTTCCTTCAATAAAAGGTGGAAGATTATGTTTGCCTCGTGTAGGTGTCCCTAAGGTGATAAGTATTTGCGTTCATGTTTAGTGAACATGAGTATCTATGTACTCTATATGCATAACAATATCAAGGATTCCACCGCTTGATTTTACTTATTCTTCATTCATGTAAAGCCTTGAAATTGCAGTTTTAAGATTGAAGGAGCAAGAAACATTATCTCGAAAGCCTGCACAAAACTTGAAGGCACGAATAATATTTCCATTGTTTATAATGAAATGTTGAAACTTTAATGTATCTTCGATACTGAGTTTTCTTAATGTGAATTTTGCAGAACCTTGCAAAGGATGAGTATGAAAGTAACTTTGTTTCAGCTGTGGTAGCACCTGGTGAAATTGGTGTCAAATTTGATGATATAGGTGCTCTTGAAGATGTGAAGAAAGCATTGAATGAAACTTGTCATTCTACCAATGAGAAGGCCTGAACTTTTTTCTCATGGAAACCTGTTGCGGGTATTTAACCATATATTCTTATGGACAGGGTTTCAAATCGCTGTCATGGTCGCATTTTCGGTCATTTAGGGTTTACCGTGATTGCGACCGTCGCGGGCGCTATTGCGGGTGTAGCGGGTAACTCAGATGGTGGCGAATCCGCTATATCGCAGACGAAATCGCGGTCGCGGAACGTTTTTTGAAACCCTGCTTATGGATGTTAATGTAAATTGGTTAAGTTTTCTGTATGTAACTCTGTGAATCTATTTTCAGCCTTGCAAAGGAATATTACTTTTTGGTCCTCCTGGAACCGGCAAAACCCTTCTTGCTAAGGCTCTGGCAACAGAAGCAGGAGCAAACTTTATCAGTATTACCGGTTCAGCTCTTACATCGAAGGTATGGAATTTAATGTTATCATGTCAATGAGATTATAGTACCTTTTTCATTCTGTAGACCCATTATTGTTGTCTGGCAGTCTGGCACTATTTCCAAAACAAATTCTTTGATCAAGGAAAATCCCACCTCAGCCTGAATTAACTAGCTGATGAATTTATCTACTTTTTTCGATAAATTTCTTGTTTTTCATGCTAGGCGGTGCTATTTTGTCTGTGAAGGCATTAGCACTTATGTCTTGTGAGTCTAAACGTGTCTGATTTGTTTGCATATTTCCTTTAACATATCTTTATTTTTTTTTCTTCCATTTTTTTTTTGATAGAAAGAGGCCTCATTAAAATCCTCCTTCAATCCCTCCATGTTATGAGAGTAACATGAAGGAACAACGAAGGAGGAAAAGAGAGCCAAGAAAACTTTTATTCACAAGAACCAGATTACAAGATTGAACAAACTCCTACACTTCCAACAGAAGAACATAAAACTTAACACAAAACATCCAACAAACAGGGAGGTACAATTCCTGTTAAACAACACAACAATAACCAAAAATCACCCTATCCCATCTTTAGCAAGTTTGTCAGCTTCCCAGTTTGCCGCCCTTGAAATATGCCTAAATATAATATCCTTTCCAATCAAAAGCGAAACTATATCCTTCACCAAGGATAGATGCAAAGGAGGGCTTAAACCCGGATTCTGGATCCACTTCAGAGCGTTGGATGAGTCTGATTCCAAGATAACTCTCTGATTTGCGACAAAATCCAACTCCTCCATAAGACAAATCCTCTTTTGATAGCCAACAGCTCTGCCAAGATAGGAGGACCACCCCCTATTGCTTCAGAAAACCACTGAAGTAATAGACCTCTGCTATCTCGAAACAGACCACCAATACCTCCTTTTTCCCAACCCGAAACCATCGCTCCATCAACATTTAACT